CAAAAAAAAAAAAAAAAAAAAAGTTATTCAACAGCCCCACCAAGAAACTGGTTTGGAGGCTGTCCCAAAATCCAAATCCAATATTTCCAGTTTAAGTCCTCAGTTGCTCAACAGTTGGGAGTTTACCTACATGTTTTCTCTTGCATCTGCATATAACCCCATCTAGGAGTTTCCTGGCAGCAACCCTGGCCATTTTCGCTACAATTCTATAGCCAATCCCTATTCAATTCAGAAAAATATGTCTGGAATGAGCCTGGAGCTCAAGGACATCACAGCAGTTAGATACTAGGAAAGGCTAGGTCAAAAGACAGTGTTCCCATTTACCTGTCCAAAGGGGCTGAATCAATATTTGCTGAAGCAAAACGATAGTTTATTATTGCCCTAGAGAAGACTTGAAGGGAAGTCTCTACAATAAGTTGTTTCCAATGATAAATAAGCATTCTTATGATGAACAAGACACTTTATGTTTAAAAAAATCTAAATTAAGATCACGTACTTAATTAGATCAGATTCATTCAGCACATTTTTGTGCACCCATGTATTAGGTAGAAGGCACACTCTAGTTTTATGGTTCTCAAACCGCTTGATTACCTACAGTGCTTACTAAGGCTCCATTCCCCAGGGATTCTGAACTGTCTCAAGTCCGCAAAGCAGTGTGTATATATATATATATATATTTTTTTTTTTTTCTTTCTTTCTTTTTTTTTAGTTGGAGTTGCCCAGGCTAGAGTGCTGTGGCACGCTCATAGCTTCTGTAGCCTTGACCTGCCGGGTTCAGGCGATTCTTCCACCTCAGCTTTCCAAGTAGCTGGAACTACAGGCATGCCACCATACCCCGCTAATTTTTATTTATTTATTGTAGAGAGGCGGTCTCACCAAGTTGTCCAGGCTAATCTCAAACCCCTGGGCTCAGGCAATCCTCTCACCTCTACCTCCCAAAGTGCAGAGATAACCGGTGTGAGCCACCATGCCTGGCCAAATCTGTAGTTTTAACTTTATCTCATGTCATTTCCTAAAGAGCCACTCTTTACAGTTTGTACCCGAACTGCTACATTGGGAATATATTCTACAGAGCGTGTCATTCGAGTTTCTGGTCTTGAATGATCCCACACTTACCACAGCATAACTAAATAATGAATCAACAATTAAATAAGGCAAACAAGTCATGACAAATATAATACACATGTAGGTGAATTAGTTAGCCAAGCTCCATTCAGGATGTAACACTTATTCTTACTACCCATCTATGATCTCAAGCTGCTTTTTTTTTTTGAGTCTGAGTATCACTCTGTTGCCCTGGCTAGAGTGCAGTGGCATGATGATGGCTCACCACATCCTCAATCTCCTGGGCCCAGGTGATCCTTATGCCTCAGCCTCCCAAGTAGCTGGGATTACAGGTGTGCACCACCATACCCAATTAATTTTTTTGATTTTGTTTTTTTTTTTAGTTGGAGTCTCACTCTGTTACCCAGCCTGGCATGCAGTGGCATGCTCACGGTTACCACAGCCTCAACCTGCTGGGCTCAGGCGATCCTTTCATCTCAGCCTTCCAAGCAGCTGGGACAACAGGTGTGCACCCCACGCCCAGTAATTTTTTTTTTTTTTTTTAGAGACAAGGTCTCTCTAATGTTGCCCAGGCTGGTCTCAAACTTTTGGGACCAAGCAATCCTCCTGCCTCGGCCTTCCAAAGTGCTGGGATTATAAGTATGAGCTACTGCACCTAGCCTCAGTTGCTTTCTTGAAGCAATTCTAAGTAAAATAACTATAAAGAGTTACTAAAAGTTCAGCTGAAATATAACTGGCTTCTTCCTTTGAATAGAATCTAGGGTTTTAATATTTTGCACATAGTTCCATAAGATCTGAAATTGTGACTCTTAGATATAATTCTCCGAAGACTTATTAACAAGAGATCTGGATTATAATCTTAACTACCACTAGTCTGTGACTTAATTTTCTTTGTAAAATGAAGATGATAATCCTTATCTTCCCTCACAAATTTCTTGTGAAGATTAAAAAATTAGCAGTGTGAAAGTCCTTCTAAATGTAAAAAGCATGGGGCAAACTTTTTCAGGTCTCTTCCTACTATGGATTTATTTCTGTCTTCTTAATAAATCCTACTTTCTAAAAAAAAAAAGTACTATCCAAATATAAGTGTTTACACTGAGAAAACTGACTCGAGCTGTGATTTAGCCCCTTGAGGGGTCTGGATCCCTTTAAGAATCTGATGAAATCCTTGGCCCCATATCACATACTGCATGTAATTTGGGGAATTTATAGATACTCCCTCCTATCTACAGACATCCTGTATGAAGTGATGCGAAGGCATATAACAGAAAAATATTTGGGTGCAGAGTATATGAACCCTAAAAGGCCTTTTTATTTTTAATGTTTATTTTTTTGAGATAGGGTCTCACTCTGTCAGGCTGGAATGCAGTGGTACGATCCCGATTCATTGCAGCTTGGACCTCCTGGGCTCAGGTGATCCTTCCACCTCAGCCTCCCAAGTAGCTAGGACTGCAGGTGTGCTCCATCATGCCTGGCTAATTTTTGTATTTTTTAATAGAGACAAGGTCTCACAGCCGGGCGTGGTGGCTCATACCTGTAATCCCAGCACTCTAAAAGGCCGAGGTGAGAAGACTGCCTGAGCCCAGGAGTTTGAGATCAGCCTGGGCAACTTGGCAAGGCCTCATCTCTACAATAAACCAAAAAATTAGCTGAGCACGTGGCACATGCAGTGCCCACTACTACAGTTCCAGCTACTAGGAAGGCTGAGGCAGAAGGATTGCCTGAGCCCAGTAAGTTGAGGCTGGGGTGGCCGTGAGTGTGTCACTGCACTTCAGCCTGGGCAACAGAGTGAGACTTCGACTCAAAAAGAAAAAAAATGGTCTCATTCTGTTGCCCAGGCTGGTCTAGAACTCCTAGGCTCAAGCAATTCTCCCACCTCTACCTCCCAAAGTGCTGGGATTACAGGTGTGAGCCACCACACCTGGCTTAAAAGGCCTTTTTAAAAGATGGTCTAGGTGTCTGTGGAGCATCTCTGTGCATCCAGGAGATGGAGGGCTCAGAAACGTGGTTATCTAGCTCTATTTTGCAAACAGAAAATCTAAGGCATACAGATATATAAAGGGAGGAACCTGAAAACCAAACTCGAGTTTTCTACCATGCTGAAGCCACTGAAACACAGAGGCTCAGACGGGGAAAACACAACCATGGTGTCATAAAACCATAAGTTAATCAAGTGCAAATAGTTCTTCCTGAAATGCACAGTGGCTTCTTGCTACTTGCCCTCATGTTAATTCCTGCTAGAGCTGTGCAGCCACATTTGTCTTGGTTTAATCTTTGCAGAGGCTGGTTTCAAATCTGATCTGACACACGAGGCAGTGAGGGAGCTTGCTGCATGATCAGAAAATACTCTGTTAAAATAAAAATTGAGTGGATGGCCTGAGCCCGCGGGTTCGAGACCCGCCTGGGCAGCGAGACCTCATCTCTACAATAAATCAAAAAATCAGCTGGGCGTGGTAGCGCGCGCCTATAATTCCGGCTACTCGGAAGGCTGAGGCGGAAGGATCGCCGGAGCCCAGCGGGTCGAGGCTGCGGTGGCCAGGAGCGGCCACTGCACTCCAGTCTGGGCGGCAGAGACTCCAACTCAAAAAACAAATAAATAAATAAATTGAACCCAGACAAGCAAATGCTGTTAGACTTTGGTGTATACAATCGAGGCCATTTGGCCTGTCTTCTCTTAGTGTCTACAATTCATTGCCAATAGCCAGGTTTGGTTTTATTAAAAAGGCGTAAGAAAAGCATGAATATCATGTTAGCAGGATCCATTCCAAGTTAGATGTTAGGTCACAGTGAGATAGATGCTGTACTCAGGCTCCCCTGCACTCTCGTCTCAATAGGTAAAAAAGCAGGACATGGCAGAGCCAATAACAGAAGAGCTGGGAAAGACTGCTCAAATTTCCCTGCACATATGATTATGGTTCTTCAACTTAATTGGGAGAAAGTGAGAGTGGTTCTAAGACAGGTGGAAAATGGTTAAAAAAAAAAAATAGAAAATACACACCAGACTGAGTGTGGCAGCTCACATCTACAATTCCAGCGTTTTGGGAGGTGGAGGCAGGAGGATCACTTGAACCCGGGAGTTCAAGACCAACTTAGGCAACATAGGGAGACCCATCTTAAAAAAAAA